AGACAGAATTGCAGCGAGGCTCGCTCTCTCTCTCTCTCTCTCTCTCTCTCTCTCTCTCTCTCTCTCTCTCTCTCTCTCTCTCTCTCTCTCTCTCTCTCTCTCGCCCCCTGGTGGCCACCCAGAGAGCCGCGCTGCATCTCACAGCCACACTGCCACACCTGGCCAGGCTGGCTGGAGCAGCATCCTTCTGCTTTTTTTCCTCTCTGCATTGAGGTTTCTGTGGTGAAGAGTACCAACTGGTTGCTTATTTTTGTCACATACATACACATAAGTATAATTTTCAACTATTAACTGAAGAGTCGCAGCAGGATACAGAACTGGTACACATTCTGTTCCCCTTTAAAAACTGGAAACCCTGTTATTTTGCAGATTTGGGAAATGTAGGCAGGGCTATGGCTCTAATCTTCATCTTCCATTCACAAGTGCAATCTATTTTCTATAACTCCCAATGCAAACTTATCAAAATGGAAATGAGACACTCCACTGCTCCAGATCTCCGCTGGCTTGCCATCGCTCCTAGAAACCCATCTGGCCTGCTTGCGGTGCTGGCTCTCCAGGCCCAGTGCAGGCCCTAGCCTGCTCCCTTGAGCCTTTGTGATGTTCTCTGAAAACCATCAGCTGGTTTTCATCTCATGACCTTTGCAATTGCTGGTTCATCTCCCAAAGTCATGTTTCTCCTCCGCCTTTGCAAGGCTTGTTCTCCCTAATGTCAGCCTACAACATATTTGTTTATTTGCTTGATTATTGTCTGCTTCCTAAATAGACTATAGACCCCCCTCAAAGACGAGGGAGATTTGCCTGCTTGTTCCCTGCTTCGTCCTGAATGTACATTAATAGGAGCTTATGAGCATGAGGCTAAATAATGGACGGAGGAAGGTTGTAAGACACTGGCTGTTTCGGTGTTCCTAGGGATGGATGTGGATCCCCTGAGCGGCACCAACAATGAAAAAGTGAAATGCAGTAGCCCTCTGGGCCGTCCTGGGCTCCCTTCATGCACCCACTTGGTGAAGTGTGCTGAGCCGGCACTACCATGGCATACTCTGCCCCAGGGTGCCTTATGTGCCTCACCAGTTCCGCCAAGTTCAGTGACCCTGATCGGAGGTTGTGAAAGATTAGAAAATAGAGACAGGAGAAGGAAAGCTGGGATTCAGTGGGACGCTCCTTCCACAAGCCGTGTCTTTTTTTTTATAGCAGGTGCCATTAGGCAAAGTAAGGCTGTAGTCAAGATGTTTACATCGTTCTTGTGGGTTTCAATCCTGCTCAAGTACATGCACCTGATCAAACTCTGTTTACTTGCAGCCTATATCGCTTTCCCACGGGGGGCCAGTGTTCAGATCATAGATTCAAGCTTACAACTAAAGCTTTTTTTTTTTTTTTTTTTTTTTTAGCTATCATTGTGCTGGGAGGCTCTGCCTTCCAAGTGGGGACTTGCATGTGGCCACGAGAGGACTGTGCCCTCTCGTCAGTCCAAGGCTTGAACCTGTCCAAACTCTGTAGCCACGCCCCACAATGAAGAACAAAGAACACGAGGCAGGTAGCTGAGTCCCTCTGCTCACCATGCAGGCACAAGGCACCAGGCCTGAGGAGCTGACTGCTAAGCAGCAGGGCTCAACCTGAGAACTGACAGGCTAATGAATGCTTAGGGCTGAGCCCGTGCGTCTGAGCAAGGCTAGTTTCATGGAGTGCAGCCCGTGCAGTCGCACAGCCCAGGACTCAAATGGGCCGTGCTTGGTTCAGTGCTTTGCTGTTGCTTGAAATTCTTTTAAAACATTTGTATTACATTTTTATTGATTTCAGAAAGAAAGGGAGAGAGAGAAAGATAGAAACATCAGTGATGAGAATCATTGATCAGCTGCCTCCTGCATGCCCACCACTGGGGATAGACCCCAGAACCCAGACTTGTGCCCTTGACTGGAGTTGAACCTGGAACCCTTTAGTCTGCAGGCCGACACTCCACTGAGCCAAACCAGTTAGGGCTGTAATTTGAAATTCTTGATTTTATTTTTACACTTGTGTTTTGTAAGTGAAGTTGGATGGAGGTATGAACAGAGGATATACATGCAAAATCTATGTCTGCCATCCCTTGCCATCCATTTGCACATAACATTCTCAATGTCCCACATGTGTAGGAGGTCAGTGGTACTCAAACAAGCTAGGGTGTTCTATCTATAACTGAGTTAGTGGGGAAGCCGACATCCCTAAAAGGCCTTGCCTTCTGTTTGAACCAGAAAATTGCTTCCAATTCGGAAAAAAAGGCAATGGCATTGTAAGAAATACAGGTAATCCAGGAACCATATAATTCTCTCTCTCTCTCTCTCTCTCTCTCTCTCTCTCTCTCTCTCTCTCTCTCTCTCTCTGTCTCTCTCTGTCTCTGTCTCTGTCTCTGTCTCTGTCTCTGGTCACTCTCTGCATTTACCCAGGCTGAAAATTATGACAACAAAGGAAAAGATAGAGCAACACAGAGTTCCTTTGCCTCCACTCCTCACTCATCAGGAAGCTGAAAGGAGAGAGTGCTGGTAGGAGGCGCTAACATGGAAAAGTGAGAGAAAATGGGTTTGTTTTGTGCTGCATTTCGGCTGCTCTGCTAGAACAAACCCCAGGTGCAGCTGTGAAGTAGGAAACACCACTTGAGAAACACCACAGTGATTTGCTGTACAAACAATTTTTGTTATTGTTAGGAAAGTGTCTTGACATTAGGTGGCCTAGGGAATCTTTTTAAAAAATTATCTTTATTGTTGAAAGTATTACAGATGTCCCATTTTTTTTTTTTTATCCCACTGACCTCCCCCGCCCCCCCCCCCATCCCACCCATTGCCTTTCTCTCCCCAGGCTTTCCCTCACACTATTGTGTCCAAGGGCCATGCATATATACAGATACTGTGAGTTCATTGTTTAATCTCTTCTCATTCCCTCCCCTCCCCTTCCCTCTGAAATATCAGTCTGTTGCATGCTTCAATGTCTCTGGATCTTTTTTGCGCATCAGTTTGTTTGTTTGTTTTGGTTTTGGTTTTTTTTCATTAAATTCCACATATAAGGGAGATCATGTGATACTTGTTTTTCTCTGACTAGCTTATTCAATTAGCATAACAATATTCTCCAGGTCCCTCCATGCTGTCTCAAAGGATAAGAGATCTTTCTTTTTTTAATTTAGCGTAGTATCCCATTATGTAAATGCACCACAGTTGTTTAATCCAGTGGTTGGCAAACTCATTAGTCGACAGAACCAAACATCAACAGGATAACGATTGAAATTTCTTTTGAGAGTCAAATTTTTTAAACTTAAACTTCTTCTAATGCCACTTCTTCAAAATAGATTCGCCCAGGCCGTGGTATTTTGTGGAAGAGCCACATTCAAGGAGCAAAGAGCTGCACGTCTCTCGAGCCACAGTTTGCCAACCATGGATTTAATCCATTTATCTACTGATGGGCACTTGGGCAGTTTGCAGAACTTAGCTATTGTAAATAATGCTGCTATGAACATAGGGGTGCGTATATTCTTTCTTATGGGTGTTTCTGGCTTCTTAGGATATATTCATAGAAGTGGGATCACTGCACTGGGTCAAATGGCAATTCCATTTTTAATTTTTTGAGGAAACGCCACACTTGGTGATTCCAGTCTGCAGGATCTCAGTGAAGATGCTCTGAGAATGGTAATCAGACAAAAGATGGAGGAAAGGAAAGTAACTGCCGATTGACAGGGATAACTAGTCATTTATTCACCCAAGTGGAAGGTGCAAAACAGTTATGTTTGTGTCTGAGAAAAGGAACAACATATTTTCACTAGCCTTCTACCTCAGGGGGAGCAAAGGTGTGTGTGTGTGCTCTTTCCCCAAAATCTAGCCTAGCACAGCAACCTTGTCTGCACATAGTAAAAGCTCAACGAACAATTGTTAAATGATGTTGACACATGAAATAGTGCATTGAGAAACTACTGCTGCTCCAATTGCTTGATAAATCGAATGAAATATCGCCTTCAAATCCGGGTTCTCCGTGAGGAGTGCTGTGTTCACTTAACCTGCTGCTTCCTTTTCTCTCATTGTTCTTATATCATAAATGAAAATGCATCATATATTGCAAACCTATTTCAAATATAGGGCTCCTCTCCCTATAAAACAATGAAATCATCTAGCTGGTGTGGCTCAGCGGTTGAGCATTGACCCAGGAACCAAGAGGTCACCAGTTCAATTCCCAGTCAGGGTACATACCTGGTTGCACGGTGGATGGGGATTGGGGGGGGGGGGGGGGGAGGGAGCATGCAGGAAGGAGCTAATCAATGTTTCTCTTTCTCCCTCTCTCTCCAAAATCAATAAAAACATGTTTTAACAAGCAAACAAACAATGGCATCAGCTGGATGGAGCTTTTTTTTTTTCTTTTTCCTTTCCTTTCCCTTCCCTTTCCCTTCCCTTCCCTTCCCTTCCCTTCCCTTCCCTTTCCCTTTCCCTTTCCCTTTCCCTTTCCCTTTCCCTTTCCCTTTCCCTTCCCCTTCCCTTCCCTTTCCCCTTTCCCTTCCCTTTCCCCTTTCCCTTCCCTTCCCCTTTCCCTTCTCTTCCCCTTCCCCTTCCCCTTCCCCTTCCCCTTTCCCTTCCCTTTCCCTTTCCCTTTCCCTTTCCTTTTCTCTTTCCCTTTCCCTTTCCCTTTCCCTTTCTCTTTCCCTTCCCTTTCCCTTTCCCTTTCCCTTTCCCTTTCCCTTTCCCTTCCCTTCCCTTCCCTTCCTTTCGCTCGCAGCTGGTTGCGCTGAGTGATGGGAAAAGCAGCTGCAAGCTGTGCATGCTGGCGGTGAAAGCTGCGGGCTCCCGGAGCGCGGCATCAGGCCCAGGATTCCTGCCGGTTCGCAGGAACCAGCTCTCCTCACCTCCGAGCTCCGCTGTACGGCAGCGCCTGGGCCAAGATGGCGGCGCCCAGGGGGCGATTCCAAGGGCGCCGCCATCACTACGGCGGTCCCCGCAGAGGCCGCGCGTCGCTTGGGTGGGCCGCCGGGTCGGCCTCGGAGTGAGACCCCGATGGCGACCAAGCCGGAGTCCGTGGGCCGGAGGCGGAGCGCGAGGACCTCCAAAGAGGCAGCGAGTGCCCCGGAGCCGGCCGTGTCGGAGCCCGGGGGCAGTGCGGGGGTGAGCGTGGGGACGGGCGCGGCGCCTGGGGGGCAGAGCCGCTCTGATTGGGGGTCGGTGTGTGGGGCCGCGCTGCGGTCGGGGAAGACGGGCCATTTGGCCGCTGGGGGTGAAGCTGGAGGGGGTCAGCGGGGCAGGGATGTGCGGTCAGTGAAGGGAGGGGGTGGGTGCCTGGGGGTCCGGATAAGGAATGCGTGTTTGGAGGGACCCGCGGAGACAGATCCGCGGTGGCAGCGCGGGGGTCTATGCGGTCGCGGAGCGCTGCGGGTAAGGGATCTGCGGGGACAGGGATGGGGGGGAGGGGGTCTCCGGGAGCCAGAGATTTTGGTGGCTGTGGTGGTTGGAAACCGGATTGACCCCGTCCGCGGGCTGAGGTGCAGGGAGGTCTGCTAGGGGAGTTTGTTGTAATAAAGGGAAGAAACGGTGATGGTTTGCAAAGAGGGTTGTAACAGTGAAGTGAAAAAGCACATTCAGAACACGTCTGGAGAATGAGCCTGTAGGACTTACTGATGAATTGCTGTGGAACACGAGGGGAGAGAAGAGTCAAGATTTACATCTAAAAGCAAAGGAAATAAAAAAGATTTCCATTTTGCCAGAACCGGTTTGGCCTGCGGACTGAAAGGTCCCAGGTTCGATTCCAGCATGGACCTTGGTTGCTGGCACATCCCCAGTGGGGTGGGGGTGGGGTAGGGGTGCAGGAGGCAGCTGATCTATGTTTCTAGCTCTATCCTTCTCCCTTCCTCTCTGTAAAAAAAAAAAAAAAAAAAAAAAAAAAAAAAAAAATATATATATATATATATATATATATATATATATATATATCAATAAAATATATATTTTTAAAAAGATTTCCATTTAGACTTTTGGCCTGAGGAATTGGATAGATGGTGATTCCATTTTCTGAGAAAGGGGTGTGTTGGAGAAGACCAGATTTAGTGGCTATTGATGGGAGCCAGGTAGATGGCAGTGGTTCTGTTTTGGGCTGTCAAAATGCCCATAACACGTCCAAGTAGAGAGGTTGAGTAGTTGTTAGATATATGAACCGTGAGCTTAGGAGAGATCTGAGCTAGGGAATCCATGTGTGAAGGGCATCAGCATAAAGATGGTATTCAAAGCCATAAAATTGGAGGAGATGAACTAGGGAGAGAAGGCAGATAGAGAAGAAAAGAGGGCCAAGGACAGAGCTCTGAGTTATTCTGATAGTTAGAGGTCTGCTAAACAACAACAAGAAAAAAGAAAGAAGGAAAAAGAGAGACAGCCACTGCGCTGAGGTAGGGGGAAAACTGTAAATGTCATGTCAAAGAAGCACAGAGAAGAAAGCTTTTCAAAACAATGGAAGTAAAATCGGTTGTGTCGTTTGCTCTCATGGACCCCAGAAGTACGACTAACAGAGAATTTGACTTTGGCAAGATGTAGCTCAATGGTTATTTTGATCGATCATAGATCTTTCAGTGGAGTCATAAAATTCTTTTGGGATGAGTTGAAAGAATAGGAGGTAATGTCGTATAAAGAGCAAGTATAGATAACACTAGGAGTTTTGCTGGTGAAGGGAGCAAATAAATCGACATTGGATGGGACATGTGATTAAGATAGGTTTCCTGCCGAAACCGGTTTGGCTCAGTGGTAGAGCGTCGGTCTGCGGACTGAAAGGTAAAGTTCGATTCCGGTCAAGGGCATGTACATTGGTTGCCAGCACATCCCCAGTAGGGGGTGTGCAAGAGGCAGCTAGTCGATGTTTCTCTCTCATTGACGTTTCTAGCTCTCTTGAGAGAGAGAGAGAGAGAGAGAGAGAGAGAGAGAGAGAGAGAGAGAGAGATATTTCCTTCAGATGAATGATATTTGGTAGAATGATCCAGTAGAAAGAGACAAATAGGTAGTACAAAAGAGAACGAGGTTAACTGCAGGGGTGAGAAGGCAGTTGAGGATGGGATCCAGAGCATAAGTGGACAAACTGGGCTTAAGTGAGAGAAGGGACAACTCTTTTAATTTTAACAGAAGCGAAAGCAGATTATATGGATTTGGTAACAGGATAGTGCAGTGGTCGGCAAACTGCGGCTCTCGAGCCATATGTGGCTCTTTGGCCCCTTGAGTTTTTAGCAAAGGCCAGCTTAGGAGTTCTCTAACTAAATTAATAACAATGTACCTACCTATATAGTTTAAGTTTTAAAAATTTGGCTCTCAAAAGAAATTTCAATCATTGTACTGTTGATATTTGACTCTGTTGACTAATGAGTTTGACGACCACTGGGATAGTGGAATTGGTGGTAGCAAGGCAAGGTAGTTCACATCCATTTGCGTTTATTTTCTCTTTAAAGTATAAGGTGAATTCATCAGCTAAAAGGAGAAAGGGAGTAGGTGTTGGAGATTTCAAAGAGATGTTGGAGATTTCAAAGAGAAAGAGAATGTTTGGCATAATCATCTTGGAAAGAGGAATAGGAAACTGACAGTATTGGATGCCCATTTGAGACATGTAACCTCTTCCAGGTTACAGACTCCTCGTATCCTCACTGGCAGAAAGAGCAGAGAGAGCAAGCAAGCTCTCTTGTGATTCCTATAAGGGCTATAGTCTCATTCATGAGGATTCCATCCTCAGGATCTCATCTAATCCTAATTACCTCTCAAAGGCCCTAACAACTAATAATCTCATAATACGATCATATTGGAGGGTAGAGTTTCAATATATAAATTTGGAGGAGACACAAACATTCAGTCTATAATAGGGACATTTCTTTTTTATAAATATATTTTTATTGATTTCACAGAGGAAGGGAGAGGGAGGGAGAGAAATATCAATGATGAGAGAGAATCATTGATCTGCTACCTTCTGCACACCTCTACTTGGGATCGAGCCTAAAGTCAGGGCATATGTCCTGACTCAGAATTCAACTATGACCTCCTGGATCATAGGTCAATGCTCAACCACTGAGCTACAATGGCCAGGCTCTTTTTTAAATTTTTTAATCCTTACCTGAGGACATGCTGAGAGATAGTGAGATACCAAGAAAGAGAGACAGAGACAGAGAGAGACAGAGAAGCAAAGACAGAGAGAGACAGAAAAACATCAATGTGAGAGAGAAACATAATTGGTTACCTTCTACTAATATATGTTCCCCTACTGGGCATCAAACCAACAAGTCAGGTATGTGTCCTGATCAGGAATTGAACTGGCAACCTTTTGGTACACAGAGCCACTCTGGCCAGGTGGGACATTTCTTTTCTTTTTTTAAGGAAGTACCTTTTTAAAAATATATATATTTTTATTGATTTCAGAGAGAGGAGAAATATAAACATCAATGATAAGAGAGAATCATTGATTAGCTGCCTCCTGCAGGCCCCCACAAGGGATCAAGCCCGCAACCCTGGCATGTGCCCTTGACCAGAATTGAACCTGGGATCCTTCAGCCCACCGGCCGAGGGTCTATCCACTAAGCCAAACTGAGAGGGCCAGGTAGGATATTTCTTAATATGATTTTTGTTTCTCAAGGAAAGAAATGCAAAATTGGGTAGAGAATAGGTATCCTATATAACATTATGGTCAACAGTGAATGGTCAAGGTAAGAACAAGTCATTATTATCTTCCAAATCACTCACTAATGTGGATAACATTATACTGAACAAGAATATTGCTATTATAGGGATCGGTAACTTTCAAGGATGTGACGATGGCATTTACCCAGAAGGAATGGGAGCAACTAGATTCTGCTCAGAGGAGCCTGTACAAGGATGTGATGCTGGAGACCTATAGCAACCTCACCTCGATGGGTAACTACAGTTCCTTCACAATTCAAAATATGTCTATTGTGATTCCTTTGCTGGACTTACCGAACTTGATGAGTTTGACCTTAATATTTTAATCAAGGAATTTAATCCCTTTTTGGTAGTAGGAAGGATACTTGTGCCCTTGCCTCTAAAATGCAAGGTCTACTCAGATGGGGATATGGACATCTGCACTGTGAAATCTCAGAATCCATGTATTCTTTATCCTTTAAAGGATCTGAAACTCAAATATTAGGGCTTGATTTCTGGGGTGTTTGTTGTTATTACATTCAATGTCTACCATTTCTCATTAACAGGGTATCAAGATGCCAAGCCAGACATGATCTCTCAGTTGGAAAAAGGAGAAGCGCCATGTTTGGGAAAGGGAAAAAGATCAAGACAAGGTGGTCCGAGTGAAATAGCAAGACCCAAGCAAATAGGAGTCAATAGAAGTAAGTTCCTAAGTTCTTGGAATTACTCAAAGAATAACCTTTTCCTAAATTCTTCGTAAAGATCTCAGTTCCTTCTTTCTTAACCAGGCAGTAGCAACAGAAAAATGTCAGAATCTCCTGGGGGAAGAGGATTTCAAACTACAAGGAGTTTAACCTTGGAGATTCTAATATTTCTTCTTTCTATAAACCTGTCCATGTGAAAGGTTATCACATGAGATTCACTGTAGTGATAAGTTAGTGTATCAGTCAGCTTATGCTAAGTTATGTTCCATTAAGGAATGAATCCACTATCTTAATGGCTTACATCAAGAAAGATTTGTTTCTTGCTCTGGCTGTAGCCTATTTACATTTTTTTTGTAGACCTATGTTGAAAGAGCAGTCCTTACTTGGCAAATCCTGATCTCATGGCAGAGGGAAAAAAGAGTGAATGAAACCACATTGTGACTCTTAAAATCACTGATTGGAAGTGGTAAATCTCTTTCTGCTCACATTTTATTGGTTAAGAGCAAATCACGTGACCACCACTCCAGAGTTTAACAGGGTAGGAATGTATAATCCTTCCACAGGGAGGATTCAAATGGGCATGCAATGGGACTGGGAGGTGTAATCCTTCCTCAGAGAACAATAATATAGTCTGCCACATCACTCAGGTTGTGCTAGGGAAAAAGGTGAAAACCAGAGCTCTAAACCTTTAGTACCAGCCCCTCCATGCCTAAGTGACCCTTCTATATAGCTGTGTTTTCTCATTCATGCTCTCCATTGCTCAGCTTTCAGAAGAAGTGGTGATCCTCTTTACTGGTTTCTGAATCTCATTTCTGCTTACCTTTTTAAAAGCAGTACTTTAAAAAATTATCCTTCCTTTTCCTAACATCCTGTTTTTCTTCCTCCATTCACACTCATGATATACAGTTATATGAAATTGCTCTATATATCCAGACATTCTCTGGCATGATGCTCCTAACCGTAATAACTTTTCTTTTTCCTCCTTTTACTGTGAATTTCTTAGGAGAAAGTCTTTTATTGGGCTAGCTAGAGCCTGGTGTTTACTATTGTCCAATTCATTGTTTTCAACTAGAATTTGGATCGGATTTACAAACATGGCCTCCTACATCTGTCAATGTGGATGGTGGTCTCAGAGAAGGGACGCATGGGTTGAGAAAATATCTCAAAATGTATGGTTGTATAATGTGTGGAAGAAAGAATGTGAGCAATCACTTAAAACTTGGAAATAAGCTTAAAATTTATAATTGGTAGTCAGTAGAGTGACTTGATAGGAACACAGGTACGTAGCTCTATAGCAATCTATTGGGAAACAAGTGTGTTTGTACACTGTACATCCAAATGATATAAAGTTTGTTTGAAAATCTCATTACTGTCAAATGGTAAAAACAACAGGGAACTCAGAGAAACGGTAGGTTTTTGGTGGTGGAGGTGGGTTTGTGTTTTTCCTGTGTGTGCGTGTGTGTGTGTGTGTGCGTGTGTGTTGTTGTTTAGTACAGGAATGTCACTATTACAAAGATCATGGATAGTAGCAGTGGAACACTCTTCTTGCTTATTTCTTCAGTCACCTACCTGTAAGATGAACAGGTAGTCTGCTCTTTGGTAGCCTTATCTTCTCTATTTTGGATCTTTAGGGTACTATAACAAAAATGCACTGGATGCCCTAGCTGGTTTGTCTTAGTGGATAGAATGTTGGCCTGTGGACTGAAGGGTCCCAGGTTCAATTCTAATCAAAGGGCACATGCCCAGGTTGCAAGCTTGATCCCCAGGAGGAGGTGTGCAGAAGGTGGCCAATCAGTGATTCTCATCATTGGTGTTTCTCTCTCTCTCTCTCTCTCTCTCTCTCTCTCTCTCTCTCTCTCTCTCTCTCTCTCGCCCCTCTCTCCCCCCCTTCCTCTCTGAAACCAATATATATATATATATATATATATATATATATATATATATATATATATATATATTAATGTACTTGAGCTAGTCTAAGTAAATAGAGGAATTTATTATAAGGACATGGGTATATCTCCTGGAACCTGAAGGCAGATATTTCAGCTAGGCCTTACCACGGACTAGAACCAGGACTGGAAAGCTATTAGAAATTTAACTAATGCAGCTGGTCTCTTTAAAGACATGTGATCTTACATCTCTGCTTTTCTGTGGATGTATATGCATCCATCCTTTGTACTGTTGTATTTTGTTTATTCAAGGAAAATGCAGACTTACTGTATTTGTCTTATATCATTTTAAAATTTAAGAACCCATTGGAGGCTAACTAGAGTCTAACTTTTTAAAAGGAAGATCTCTATTGGACATCTTGGCTTGAGCCAGATGTGTCTCCAACTATGACCATGGATAATTGGATTAATATAATACAGTATACAGTAGTCAGTTACTATAGGTGGATTGGCAGTTATTAAAGCTTAGCAGCTTAGGCTGAGGAGAAAGTTCAAAAATAATCAACTACAATCATAAGCTCTTTTAACTACATCTATTTCCTATTCACTGCTCCTTTTATATATTTCATCTTTTATCCCATGTTACAAGGTCATATTTATAGTCACCACTTGTTATGACCACTATTGTCAATTTCCTTTTACTGTTTTTACTACAGCACTTTCCCCTTCCAGTCCAAGAGGATAGGGACATTTGTGCTTGATATTTCATTTACTTTGGGATACTAGATTGGAATAAAGTTTCAATTCTACAACAGGGCATTTCTTTATAAATTGTAATATAAAATATGAGAGTGCAAAGATTCTCAAGAATGTCTTACTGAATTCAATTTTAGAAGAAGTCCAGCAAGATGATGACCAGATAAAGAGTCACCAGGAATCTACAAAAAAACTCCTTAAGGACGTTTCATTCAAGAAAAAATCTCTAACTAAGAAGAAAGGCCATGAATGTGGCTCATTGGGAAAAAATGTGAATACAAAACAAGTTTCTTTAAAGAAAAAGATTCTTAAATTCAATTCACAGGGAAAAAGTTTGAAACAGAATGTAGACTCTTCAAAAAAGAAACCTGATGTAGCGAAAGAGCACAGAAAATCATCTAGCCATAGCTTATCTGAAACAAAGAAAGGCAAAAATCAAACTGGTAAGAAACAGAAATTACCCAACAATAGCTCATCTAATAAGTGTGACAAAACACAAACGGATGAGAAATTAGTTCATCATGGATCATCCCATACTAAAGGGAACAAAATTAAAACTGGAGAGAAACGTGAAAAATCATCCAGCCATAGCTCATCTCCTCCTAAGTGTGACACAACGAAAGCTAAAGTGAAACCATATGAATGTAATCAGTGTGGGAAAGTTCTCAGCCATAAACAAGGACTCCTAGACCATCAGAGAATTCATACTGGGGAAAAACCATACGAATGTGATGAATGTGGGATAGCCTTCAGCCAAAAGTCGCACCTTGCTGTACATCAGAGAACGCACACAGGAGAAAAACCATATGAATGTAATCAGTGTGGCAAAGCTCACGGTCATAAACATGCCCTCACTGACCATCTAAGAGTTCATACCGGGGAAAAGCCTTACAGATGCACTGCATGTGGGAAAACCTTTAGACACAGCTCAAATCTTATTCAACATGTGAGATCTCATACAGGCGAAAAGCCCTATGAATGTAAGGAATGTGGGAAATTCTTTAGGTATAACTCATCTCTTACTGAACATATAAGAACTCATACAGGTGAGATACCATATGAATGTAATAAATGTGGAAGAGCCTTTAAATATAGCTCGTCTCTTACTAAACACAGGAGAATTCATACAGGTGAAAAACCCTTTGAATGTAAAGAATGTGGAAAAGCTTTCAACAAGAAGTCACACCTAAGTATACATCAAAGAACTCATACTAAGGAGAAACCCTATAAATGTGATGAATGTGGAAAAGCCTTTGGACATAGTTCATCTCTTACTTACCACATGAGAACACATACGGGTGAAAGTCCCTTTGAATGTAAACAATGTGGGAAGGCCTTCAAACAAATTGAAGGCCTTACTCAACATCAGAGAGTTCATACTGGGGAGAAACCCTACGAATGTAATGAATGTGGGAAAGCCTTTAGTCAAAAGGCACACCTCATTGTACATCAGAGAACTCATACTGGGGAGAAGCCTTATGAATGTAATGAATGTGGGAAGGCCTTCAATGCAAAGTCACAACTTGTTATACATGAGAGATCCCACACTGGAGAGAAACCCTATAAATGTAATGAATGTGGGAAAACCTTCAAACAAAACACATCCCTTACCAAACATGTGAAAACTCATTCAAAAGAGAAATCTCATGAGTAAAATCTCATGTTGGAGGTCTTTTAACTGAACTGAAGGTTTTATTTAACCTTAGAAGTATTCTGAATTTGAAGGATGTTAGAATACTTAGACGTATACTGAAGTTGAAGGATGAGAGAATTTGAAAATGAATCTTTACATAGAAGCAATCAAGAATTTAAACTTGATACTAAACCTCTTATAGAAAATATTGTTTTTAAAATGTTCAGATTAAAATATAAAGTTTTTTCATTGTTAATATGCTGAATAAGCAGAACACTAGAGAAACAAATTACATACACTGAAAATTTCTGAATTGCTTGAGTTTTATGTACTTAAATACTACATATAAAAATTTAATTTGCATATGTTTAGTGCCAGGTATAAATGTTTGTGGCCACTGGTATGAGACTCATCTTTGATATTATCACCCAGCTCTTAAATTCTTTGTTACCCTCTGCATCACCAGAAAACTTTATCTAAAAGGTTGTAATTATTTCTTTTTAAAATGTCAACACCAAATTAAGAGAAAATGAAAGAAAGCAGCAGAGAATACACAGGTGCTAGTAGCAAATAATGTTCAAGATATATTGTTAAGTGAAAATAATAGGTTGTTGAACTGTGCATTTAATATGTTCCCACTTGTGTACAAAAGGGTGTGTGTGCCTGTCTCTGTATATATCTATGCACTCCGTGTATTTTTATGTGAATCAAGTTGGTTTGAAAAATACAGATAAAACTTAATAGTGGTTGTCACTGGGCACGAGAGTATAGGAATGGAGGAGTCTGGGCTGAGAGGGAGATCTCCTTTTTATTGCATACTGTTTAAACTTTTTCATCATGTATATGTACCATTCCCACAATTAAAATCCTTTTAATATGTGTAAATCAACATGAATTAAAAATTTCACTGAGCCCACTCCATTATGATATTTGACAAAATAAAAGTTTCTGTGGCTATTTGTGAATGATGATGAGTCTAAGAATATGGTATTAAATTTGATATTGAATTCACAAAAACTTTTCCTATTAAACATGTTCTTTAATTAAAATAATAAATTACAATTATAACTCAGCACTGTGTTTTTTCTGCTTACCATTTTTAAAAGACTAAAGATGAATTATAATTTCAGGTGAATGAATGAAAGTGATTATCTGAACAACCACTCCATTTTTTTCTCTTCAAAGCACTTAAATACAAACATCTCTATCTGGGATTCCAAATATATTACAACGAATGGCACAACTCCCTATTCTTTCCTCATAGCAGACATTGCCATTGGATCACTGTACTCCTTCTGAGTGAATCTAGACATTGCCTTAGAATAATTTTTAAGCATGCATTCCAGAAGGTACTACAAATCATATGAGTTCACATAGAAAACCTATTTTTAGTTGTATTCCTAGACTTGATATTTGGCATGTATGCCATCTTTTACATTTTTCACAGCACATTCAATACTTTATCTCATGTATTCCTTTGAATAAACATATGAGTCAGTAAGCAAGACTTGTCTAGTCATGGTTAATACTATTCTATATATACTAATATTTCACATAGATACTAGTCTAGCATAATGATGGGCTCTCAATAAATATGTGATTAAGTAGTATATTTGCAAATATTTCCCATCCAAGTAATTTGTAGAACACCACACCCAGTGTCACCAAGTGGCAGAGATAGGAAGTATCATGACCTCATTTCAGAAAATTAAAAGGTATAAATATTGGAAATAGAATTTGCTTGTAGTATGCATGTGTTGAAAGATCAATTCCTATATTATTCCCTTATTACAAAGTAAGTTATTTACTCTCAGGGGAAGAAAATGTAATGTAAAAACCATGCCCATTAGTAATTTACTACCAAGTGGAAGTCTACCAGTATGCATAGGGTATTCATCACTGTCCAGAGCTTTCGAAAATTTTCACTTTTTACAAGGATAAAACAATTGCAGGTCATGGTTAGATTAAGATTACCACACCTCTTGGAGAACTCATAATAGTGTCACATCTGAAACAAGAATATAGGTATGCCTAAACAGTAGAAATGAATACTGGAAGCCATCTGTGCAGTAACAAAATAATAATAATAATTAAAATTTAGCATCAGTGAATGAGGAAATGATGTCTAAAAATGATTGGAAGTGAACAATGAAAGAAAACTGACATACTGAGGTAACTCTAAATCTGATGTTATGCACAAAAGCACCTGGAGACAATATAAAAATGAATGAGCATGGATGTGTTTCAATGAAACTTTATCAAAACAAACAGCAGTCTGTAGATTGTGGACCCCTGAATTGTTGTACACATGTAATAAAACTATTAAGTCAGGGTTTCATAAAACAAATGAGACTCCCCTACCCTTTCTTAAGAAATTTCCTGAGTCCTACAGGATCCAAGATGGCTGCTCGGGTAGACATCTAGCCGCGGCAGCACACAACAATTTCAATGGAATACAACTAAAATGTAGAGTGGACATTGCCCAGAGTTACAGGTAGTCGACTGACTGAAATTTCTACAACAAGAAGGAAAGAGAAAACCAGAAAGAAAATCAGAGGAGCTGAAAAAAAGCCTAAGGTACGGAGACATGCTGCGCGCGAGCCCGCCCGCACGCGCCCACGGAGAGGTCGCAGCCGGAGAGGAGGAGAGGGCGGGGAGCCGCCTTTCCTTCCCTAGCAGGAAGGAAATAAAACCCCCAGCCTGGGCTGAACCCCTGAACCGGCAGCGCTGAGCCCCCCCAAACCGGCAGCGCTGAGCCCCAGTTGTGGGCCAGACCCTGGGGACCCAGGCTCCGGTGGGAGGAGACAGGGCCGTGAGGCGGAAAAACGGCGAAAAGCAGGGCCCCGGGAGTCGCGCGCAATGCGCACAGAGGACTGAATGTTGACTCTGATGCTGGGTTGCCCTAGCCGGAAGAAACAAGGCCTCCGGCGGCGGTGAGCCTCAGTCCTGACTGCTCCGAACCCCAGTTCTGGGCTAATCTCTGGGGACCCAGGCTCAGGCAAAGGAAGACGGGGCTGTGAGGTGGAGTCTGGGGAGAGCGGCGAAAGGCTGGGCCCCCGGGACTCGAGCAAACTGCGCACAGAGGACAGTCTGTGGGACTCGCGCAAACTGCGCGCAGAGGACAGTCTGTTGACTCTGATGCTGGACTTCTCTAGCAGGAAGGAGAAAAAAAAAGCTCTAGGCTGGGGGAACGCAGAGGGGAGCGGAAGCCCCTGCCGGACTCCAGCCAACTGGGCACCAGCAAGGAGGCGAGCCACGGAGCCCCTAGGGGCGTGGGTGCCCCTGAGCCTTTGACCACTGAGCTCGGCAATGGAGCCAAGGCCAGGGGGGCTGCTTCCTGGGCGGCGCCATCCCGGCAACAGGCTGAAGCAGCGCAGGAGCCCGCGCAGAACAAAGGGGTGCCACAGGCCAACCTGCTGAGCTCCCAGGACAAGGAGGAAGAAACCAAAGAAGATCTCAATGTGAAGAAATCAAGTGAGAGCAAAAAATAGTAAAATTACTTAAGAAAGAATAAAAAGAAGATCTTGAAAAATCAAAGACTAAGTCAGAACTCAACTCACCAGCCAACATTGCAACATAAATGCGTTTTAAAAAGAAAAAAGAAAAAAAAAAAGGACAGAATGTTGGAACAGCAACGGCCAGGCCTAGAGTGGCCAGGCACAAGGCAGTGGCAGCCAGAACCGGAGCAGCAACGGCCAGGCCCCAGAACAACAGCAGCCAGAACCAGAGCACCAACAGCCAGCACTGGAGTAGCCAGACCTGGGGCAGTGGCAGCCAGGCATGAGGCGGAGGCGGCCAAGCCCAGGGTGGCCAGTCCAGGAACAGCCAGACCCGGAGTGGCCGGGCCCGGAGAAGCCGGGCCCAGAGCAGCCGGGGTGGGGACAGCCAGACCCAGAACAGCAGTAGCCAAGCCCAGAGCATCCAGGTCGGGAGTGGCCAGACTCGGAGCGGCCGAGCCCGGGGCAGCCGGGTCAGTTGCAGCCAGGCCTGGATCAGCGGCTGCCAGGCTGGGAGCGGCCAGGCTCGGAGCGGCCGAGCCCGGGGCAGCTGGGCCCAGAGCAGCCGGGTCAGTTGCGGCCAGGCCTGGAGCAGCGGCTGGGAGCGGCCAGGCCCGGGGGAGCAGCCGGGTCGGGTGCGGCCAGGCCCGGAGCAGCGGCTGCCAGGCTGGGAGCGGCCAGGCCCGGGGGAGCAGCCGGGTCGGGTGCGGCCAGGCCCGGAGCAGCGGCTGCCAGGCTGGGAGCGGCCAGGCCCGGGGGAGCAGGCGGGGCGGGTGCGGCCAGGCCCGGAGCAGCGGCTGCCAGGCTGGGAGCGGCCAGGCCCGGGGGAGCAGGCGGGGCGGGTGCGGCCAGGCCCGGAGCAGCGGCTGCCAGGCTGGGAGCGGCCAGGCCCGGGGGAGCAGGCGGGGCGGGTGCGGCCAGGCCCGGAGCAGCGGCTGCCAGGCTGGGAGCGGCCAGGCCCGGGGGAGCAGCCGGGTCGGGTGCGGCCAGGCCCGGAGCAGCGGCTGCCAGGCTGGGAGCGGCCAAGCCCGGGGGAGCAGCTGGGTCTGGTGCGGCCAGGCCCGGAGCAGCGGCTGCCAGGCTGGGAGCGGCCAGGCCCGGAGCAGCAGCAGCCAAGTCCAGAGCAACTAGGTCGGGAGCAGCAGTGACCAGACCCGGAGCAGCTGGTTGTGGAATGAAACAGAGCAACAGAGGCCAGGCCCTGAGCAGCCAGGCCCAGAACAGCTTGCTCCTTGCCTGCCCCTGCCCCACGGCTGCTTCTCTGACATGGCTGGAAACTTTCGTGGGAACTTGAGGGTCTGCTAAATCAAGTGATGAAGGCTTAGATCTGGATGTGTTGAGTTAGTTTAGGACTGGGGTGTTGATCTGTGAGTGCCTTGGGTGGGGCCTGGATGAGGCTAGTGGACCTATTGGGAAATGTCTTTTGTGTGAAGTGTATCATTGGGCATGTGGAGGTATTATTGATATGAGAAAATGCTAAGTAACTGATTTAAAAAAAAAGAAAGAAAGAAAGAAATTTCCTCC